CTCCTGTTTACAGTCGACCCCGCTTTTGGAAGTGTCCTTAACGCGGGGAAGTGTCCATAAATTGTTAACTCCCTCCTCAATATTTGTATATCTGCGGGACACCATGCTTCTGAGATTTTTTTTTGTCCTTAAAGCGGGGAGTTGACCTAAAAAGAGTGTCCTTAAAGCGGGGACGACTGTACATGCTTTGGTGGAGGACGGGAGGAGGGGGGGGGGGGGGGGGGGCGTACTCATGGATCGAATGCCTCACCGGCAAGACCATTGACCAAAAAAAGAAGTTCCCTCGCCGGGAATTGAACCCAGGTCTCACCGGTTAGAGCGATGTATCCTGACCATTGGACTACGAAGGAGGACAGGGGGTGGGTGGCGTTGCTTGAAGATTTGATCAGTGACGGGCCCATGCCTTTGTATGGGGTGAACCGGCACTACCTCGGAGTACTCCTTTGCCAGAGGGGGGGTCAGCATTTTGTTGTTGGCCATGCTTGATGATTTGACTAAATAGTAATGGCTCATGCCTTTTATAGGTAGGAGCGAAATTAGACGGTACGCCTTTCGTTAGAGGGAGGGGTCGTCATCTTGTTGTTGGCCTTTGGTGCTTTGACCAGAAAGCGATTTATGCCTTTCTTGAGGATGGAGCGACACTTATGTCATGGAAAAAAAAAGAAGCTCCGTATCACAGTCATCACCACACGCAGGAGTCATGAAATTGAAAAATGGTTGTTGTTGAGTACTAGCAATGACGCCGGCAACGCCAATAATGCGGACGTATCTCGCACGCAGGGATGCGCAAAAAAATACGAAACGATTTAAAGAAAGCTTTTCAGGCACGTGGTGTTTATTGGAGTTCGAAGAAGTAGGCACCTACTTTATATCCAAAAACGAAAGAACGACATGATGATTTGAAACTCGATTTTCGCACCGGTATCGGTGTTGTCGCCCCCCCCCCCCCCTCCCCCCCCGGGCTCAATAACATCAGTAACAAAAACCCCGCTTCGGGCATAAGATCGCGTGACACACCGCATGTGGCCCCTGTTATTAGCTGTAGCGGGCGTAGGGCGATAGTCTCGGCACACGCTGGTCCTACCCAAGCAGAGCCTTCGACCGCACTCGACATAGGGCTCGAAGGCGGCGGGGGAAGGGGCGCACCTGAGTTTCAGCTCTTCCTTGAGGGCGGTAAAGCGGCGGGCCTTCCTCAGGCCGTGTCGGTACCTCTCGGGCCTGGACATGAACATGTTGTCGGCATTTGTGAAGACGGGGTCCTGCTCCACGATGGCCTGCGCGCGCGCGTGTCGCGAGGGGCAAGCAAAGGGGTCTCGTGCATAAATCACTGGGGATTGGGGGGTGGGTGGGCGACAAGAGGGGCTCCGCGGAGTACACACGTTCGTTCGTGACGCGAGGGGCAAGTAAAAGGAGTCACGTGAATAAATCACAAGGGGGAGGGGGGTGGACGACAAAGGGGCTCCGTGGAGTGCACACGTTCGTTCGTGTCGTCGCGGGGGGCAAGCCAAAGGGGTCACGTGCGTAAATCACTAGAGGGGGGAGCGGACGACAAAAGGGGCTCCGAATCGTGCACACGTTCGATCGTGTCGTCGCGGGGGGCAAGCAAAAGGGATCACGTGCATAAATCACTGGGGGGGTGGGGGGACGAAAAAAGGGGTCGGCCCCGTGGGTAGAAAAGCCGAGATGGAAAATCGACCCCGGAAAAACTCGATTGTATCGATCTCGGGAATCCGCGATCTGAACTATTGCAACCAAATCGTAAATCAAATTGCGATCTCCAACATGCACCTCGCTTCGTGAGCAGCACGTGCGGGCCCGTAGCTACCAATCCTAACCCTTTTGTGACTACACCCCGAAACGAGTTCCGTTTCCAGTTCTATTTACTCTTGTAGGCGTTCGACACTTGAACGAACTTGTCCTTGGGTACAGTCTTCATCTCGACGTTCATACCGCTGGCCGTCCACGCGTCTCGAGACGCAGCGACGTAGCCGTGCTTGCTATGGCGAATCACGGAAACGTCGCCCCAAGACTTCTTCGTCAAGGTGTACATGATCACGGGAATGTACCTTTACTCGTAAAATACCGCCGTAGGCGACATGACACAAGATACCACACCCCCTGGATTGAATTTTCACAGCTCGATTTCTCCACAGCAGAAAGAGTGGCGGTGATGCAAAATGGCGGCGTCGAAACCGTCTCGTCATGAGCTTTCCGAAAACGCATCCATTGACTCATACATCCTCTTCGTCGTGGAGTAACAGAGCTGTGAAAATCGACCCAGGGTGTGTGTGATATCTTACGTCACGTCGCCTACGGTAGGTTGCACGCTGCCATAGTTTAGTCGATACCGCTCGCTCCATGTGACGGATGCAAAAAGTCGATTGCCGATTGTACCGTGTTTCGCCCCCGGTGATTAATGGGCCTTCGCGAGAAAATAAGTTTAAAAGAAACAGGACAGGGAGGGGGTACGCAGACCGTATTCCCTAACCCTACCCCTAACCAACTTCCCCGATTGCATGCTTTATCCAACATGTTTACTTGATAGAAACATCCTGCGAAAGCTACTGGATTATGGGTGTCGTTTCTTCTTACCTGTAGTCTCCGGCGTGTTGCAGTGTTCCTAGCTCCTCCATCGATTACACGCGTCAGGGCCTTGTGCGCAGTGTGGCACATGCATCGATCGTGAGACGAAGCGGATCGATTGGCCGAGCTTCCAAAGTTACAATAACTTGGTATATCGTGGCCGCATCTCGAGAGGGCGTGTCTTCTTTAGGGCAACGTGCAAATAGCAGTGCTACACAATGATCCTGCGCGTCGGGCATTTCAAGTTGCACCTAACAAAAAGTGTTGGACTTCGACCTTTACACAGCAGTACATCCTAATCCTCTGCAACAAGACATAACCGTCGCTAGGAGGCAAAGGATACCACACACCCCTGGACCTCAGTTTTTACTCTACAGGACGAAGAGGATGCCAAAATCAAATTGTACGTTGTCGGAAAGCTGTCGACGAGACGGTTCCAAAGCCGCGATTTTCGGCACCGCCACTGCTGTATTTGCTCTGCAGGGTATTATAGTCGAGCTTTGGGAAACCGACCCAGGGGTGTGGTATCTTATCCGACCAAGTAACCTTAGGCTCGCGGCATGAAGGATGAAAAAAACAAACACAGATATGTACTTGCGAGTTTTGAAGGCGGCCGGTACTGGGGGTGTACTTGTAGTCTAAATCGAAGACATTTGGACGCCAAAAAAATCGCTTCCGGTTGTAGGTGTTCCGGCCTAACGCTACCTACTTCTTGTTAGCAGAGGACATCGAGAGCAGGGAAGGGCGTGTTGGCACGCCCAGATATATCTACAAAGCCAGGTCTGTTCATTGCGGGATAGATCTAAAAAGCCAGGTCGTCTGTTCATCGCGGGATAGATCTACAAAGCCAGGTCTGTTCATCGCGGCCGTGCGGTCGAGGCTGCAGCTCCAGTAGCTGCGGGTCGAAAAACTCTGCGAAAATTTCATCGTGTACAGGAAGGCTTAATTAAACTCAAATAAGCCCAGTATCCAGCAGGCTTTCCCCCCCCGTTCACTGGAAGGACTTCAACCCATCCCCTTCGACTACGGCTGTGTTCCCATCTCGAATGGCCAAGTCTCACTCTGTGACATGTACGCTACATTCTTTGTCTGGGTCCATACACCGCGACTGCACGCGCCGTCACAGGACCCACCCCCCGGAACGCCCGTGGCAGCTAGTGGTTTGAGCTACTGTACTGCTGTACTGCTGTACATCCACGCTTCAGGCAGGACGTTGGGTTTGTGACGTCGCGGACACACGGAACAGAGGTAGTATTTAGGGTATATTTACGGACGCAGATTTTACGGACTTTTTCGGGCCGCTGCTGGCTGCCTTCGACACAGCACGGACCGCCTCAGCAACAGACCTGGGCGTGCCAAGGCGCCCTTCCCTGCTCTGTTTCTGGCTGGGATTCCAGTACCAACCGGGTTGGCACTACTGCTGTAGACTACATGTGTACTGCGGTGTACTGCTGTGGCACACGGATTTAGACTGCTGTGAGATTTGTCTTGATCTTAGAGGAGAAGGGCAGACTGCTACGCGGGGCATTAGCGCGCCAATCCCTTGCCCGCTAAACTGCAGATACCTCGACGTTGACGGTGCTCGACGTCCGCTCGCGGGCAAGATCTTCGTTCATGACACGGGCTGCGGCTTAGCACATCCGGTTGCACGTGTTGGTGCAGCAGTGCAGCTCATGTGTGCGGAGTCAACGGCCCCGCCCTATGAATCAGGGGGGTGCCCCCATCTCATATCGCGCCCCCCCCCACTGATCACAACATCACAAGAAGCGCCGAACCAGGACGCCTTTGCGCAGGCAGCAGGGCCGATATACGACAGAAGGGAGCGAGGGAAGCATCAATCTGTGTGGAAGTTTAGGCGATTTTGATGGACGTTCAGACTCT